TACACTTTAAATTCATTTTTAAAAGATGGCTTATAAATATAATAAACACATTGCAAAAGCGAGTGTTGTCATCATATTAAATTGGAATCAGCTACAATTGGTGAAGTGACCGTTAAAACTCATACCCATCACTTTACCTTAGTCAACCAGATATTTGAAAGTAAAACGTTGATGTGTACCCATCGTTTTGTCGATGTAATATATAAAGAAGCAGACACACCGGATGGACAATATTCTGTTATGGAAATCTGATCATGAATTGTTATCTATGCAAAATGCAAAATCAGCCAATGCAAAATTAGCCATTAATGCAGAATTAGCCAAACCGAATGCCGAAAAAGGAGCACTACGAACGGACGGACACAATTCTTTTATTATATAGAGAAGAAGAAGAAGATTAGATAGAAAATATCTGCTTAAAGTTTTCTTTAAAAAACGACACTAGCTCGCCACTAAGGCCTTGCATTTAGCGTAGGCGATAGCCAAATCTGGGTAGTCGCAAGTGTAACAAACGCATCATGATCTCAAGTCTTGAGTAAAAAAAAACTGCAGCTGCACCTAGTATGTCGGCGCTTGCAAATAACCATAAAGCCGTGGCATCCTCGCTTTTTTTGTGGGTCGGGGCAGGTAGCATACGTGTCACAACTAAAGAATATCAGAAACGGAGTATTTCCGGGCGTTCGTAGTCCAAACTGAGCTGAAACACTTCTACCGTTTGTACATGTGGGCTGCACACTTTTGCCACGCGACTCAGTTTGTTAACAACGAACTAAAAATTCTTCGCCATCATCTTCTTACGCGGCTTAAACGGCGTTAATCGATGAGAGCCTGTCAAGTTAATGTCATTACCGCTATACGAGAGCAGCTTTCTTCTCGCCATCTTCAAACTTTTTCCACAATGTGTAGACCAATAGATTTTACACAAGTTGGTGTTTTCTCCTGGAACCCAGTCTTGAATGAGCGGAGATCCTTCAGCTCTTTTTACACCGTCAACAAGTGCTCCACACTTCCGACAATATTTCAGCCATTTTCCCGCGTCCTTCTGACACGGCTAGCCAGATTGTGCTCATGTGGTCTATCGCTTCGTTAATCCGTCAGCTTTGAACTCCTCATGAATGCGAAGTGAAAGCGACGTCATAGTAGCTAGAAGTGGCGCGATCCCCATTTTTTAGTCTCGGAGTTTAGTGAAACACCAAGTTTAAGCAGCCGCCTCCACTACCCGCAGTTGATCTCCAAATTATAACTGCGGAGGTTCATACCTCATGAACCGGTTTTCTCTCGTAGTGTAGCAGATCAGCGGACTTATTGTCTAATGATGCGGTGATGGGTCAAAAGAGACACGAAGTGATCCTAAATCTGATGGTTAACGGCGTGCTCAACTTTCTTCCTCATTTTGAAAAGAAATAGTGTATCTGCTTCGTGCCAAGTGCGACCTCTTCAGCACATTTTCATCTTCATCATGCGGTTCTCCCGTTGCAGCCCAGAACACCTGATATTCCAAGCCCCAAAGCTTTTCCGCATCAATTCGTAAAGCCTAAACTTCACGTTTACTGAGTCACCAACTTCCACCGGTCTTCCGTGTTTTGATAAATCTGCCATGGTGTTAGCTGTTGCAGCTCTTTCTCTCAAATACTTCTTTTCTTTTTCTGAAGCTTGCATTGCGTCCTTCATAGCGTGGCTATTGTCTTTTCCTCCATTCGAGCACAAGCTTCCAGCAACTCCATTCTCATAGTCTTAAACTCTCAGTCAATGACACCACTATTTCAAATTAACTCGGTTGATACCTTACGCGTCAATGATCAGAGAATGAAAACTGGCCATCAACTTCGGGGTGCAAATATACGCAGCGTCGCAATTTTTAAACATCTGACCAATAAAAAGACCGGTGACGACGCACTGCAACGTGCCGTTTTCGTCTTTTGACAAGTACTTCAGTCCATCCTTGTCCCTCACTTGTGAAAATGACTTTTCCGAATTTCATTAACTACCGTCTGGATTCTCAGGAGAAATCCCGGCAAACGGAAAAGGAGCTGACGGTTAGTGACACACCTGTTGCCACTTTTGTAACAAATTGTCATGCGACACAAGACGAGGAAAAGCACCAGGCCCTATGCTGGCAGACGCCGGTCCAAGATCACGCGCTCTTTTCACTCACACAGAAACTCATGGCCATGATCTCACAACCAGCGAAACTTCTTGCAGTACTAGTAGCCAATTGCGACGGTAGAACGGCCAAGCACATTTTTTGGGCCAAGGCTATTGCATATCAGCTTTCGGAGCTGGATGGACTGTCGTGCACGTCTTGGTATCGTATTATGGAGAACATTGATCAGTATGAGCTGAGTGCAACCGACTTGATGTTGCTTAAAGCGGTGCTGTATTACTGGCGCATGTGGCAGTTCGTCTGTATTGCTTGTATCGACGCAGTAACATCTATTGAAGAGTCGGCGACGAGTCCTTTACCTACGCCAAAACACGAGTCTAAGACATGGGTTTCGCTCCTCCAGAAACGTCGAGCTGTGTCAATCTCCCCTTCGCTCGAGGACAAGTGCTCGGACGCCTTATCGCAAGGCATGATTTTATTGGGCTCGGGGCTGTCCAAGCGGTCACGGATTACTAAGAAGAGCAACGAGTTCCTTGTCGCGTGGTTCCTCGCCCACAAGGACAATCCGTACCCGTCATCCGATGAGCGGGTGGAGATTGCTGACAAGACTGGACTGGCCGAGCAACAGGTGCGCAACTGGTTTGCAAACATGCGTAAACGTCACTGGAAACCCAACCGTGCAAATGCAAAGAAGCCGCGTTGTTTACTAGACTACGTTTTACGTCAGTCAGAAGCCTGAAAAAACGAAGAAGGAAAAGATCCTTGTATCAGTCCCGTAAGTAACTTCCTCGTAATGAATCTGTACGCGTGTCCGCCCTGTTGTAACACGGACAACTTAGCAATAAGTATCAATACTAACTTTTGACAATTATCACCACGTTCTTCTTCTTGTGTTTCTGTATATTTTTCTGTTTTTATACAAGCTGCTTAAGGTCATGAGGAGACGGAAGTGCAAGATTGCAACTATTCTTCTTCTTCTTCTTCCAGCGTCGGAGCCTCACCAATCTCATTTTTAACGTACTTGTACTTGCCAGAAGCACGAAAGAATTCTTTCTTTGAGCTACCAGATACAAGGGACGACGTTGACGTGATGCCTAGTGTCTCTTCTTTGAAGGCGGGCGAGAGTGCGGGCCAGGCCATCCAACCAACCAGTAGAGCTCCAGGGGCACCCCACGGGGCTGCAACAAGAGTGAAAGAGAGAATAGGGTAAAATCCAGAAACTTAGAAAGATCTTGTAGACGTAGAGGGATCGAATACAATGCAGAATGAAGACGTACCGAGGCTTGTAAACTCCTTCACGACTTGATTCAGACGAGCAGCGGACATGGCGAAGAGACTATAAAGGGATTTCGTAGTGTGTGTGAAGCGAACACCGCAGGTTTTAGGAGGATCGGATTGATTAAAACTAAAATGATATTTAACCAATGAACGGACAGCACGAAAACTAACGTGATGATGCATTATTGACGCACGGTATCACTATATGCAGGCATCAATAGCAACGACGTAGTCGGTGAAACGATGTGACAACTGAGAAAAGTCACTTGGCATGTACGTCTTCGAGCTCTCCATCATCTCATTTGCGATCGTATGGATGCAGACTACCATGAAAATCGATCAAGAAATGGTTGTTACATTGTGTTGACTATGGTGTTCACATCACTAGAATCGGTGTGGCCAAAGAAACGTTGGCCTCGGTATTGACTGACTCGTTAAACATGCTAATCCTAGCTGTTATCCTTAGTTACGTAATGCTAAAAAAACCACTTTAAACCTTGCTTATCACCAATCTTTCGGTCGCAGCATCACTTTAGTCCAAGACAACCTTTGTTAATCTTCTGGTGAAACTGCTTGATTAGGATCACATCAGTATTTTATTGAGTTCTCTGGTACTTGCTTATCAGAATAATATGTTTTACTTGCTAATTATATAACACATGCAGCAAACAGTTGCGTAAGCTAGACACGAGCTATTGAACTTAAAGGTAAAAAGTTTGCCAAAGAAGTGTTTTCGAAAAGTGAGTTTCATTACCAACATTACGTGCGTCCTACCTAATTTGCAGCCGCTCCTTGCTCCTGCACGAAGTTAGCTCAAGATGTGGTGGTGGAAACAGACTGTCTATTTACCGTTTATGGTTTACAAGATTTCTGAAAAGTCCTCAGCCATTCCAGTACCCCCGGAGTTGTCTCCTGGCGGTTACGTGGGCTATGCAGTACCGGCTGCCGGATGTTGATGGTGTATTGGAACATTTCCGTTGCTAGGCGAAGGTAGACGCCTTTGCTCACATCTTTATCCCTTCGTTGTTCCCTGATAGCGACCGCTCGGAGTTGGCGAAGAAGGACTTGTTTGACTTCCGCTACCTCTTGCTCCGTGGACGCACTTTCCTGCTTATGAATACTTCTGTTTCGCTGAATCCAGAGCATGGTTACGCATACGGAGCACGCTATCCACCATATTCTTTTCCAGGCCCGTCCAACGATGTCAGTTTTGTCTGGGAACATATGCTCAATATCTGCCCGCACTCTCGGAGGTAGCTCCGGTGCTGAGCGCGATAACGCTGCTTGTTTGTACAACTCCATTTGGGCGGATGATACCTCCGATCGCGTCCACTGCGTGATGATGTATGCCCAAGACTTGGATGCTCCGACACAGTCCCAGAGGATATGCAAAAGTCCTTCGTGTTGCCCGATGCAGGCCAGATGCCTCTTGCACGTCGAGTCCCGGAAAGTATTGATGAGTAGCTACTCTGTAGTATACCCAGACCTGGTATTCCGTGAGAGTGTGTCCGTGATCCCAGAGTTGTGCCGGTGACTGCGACATCGGGAAGTGGTTACCGTCCTGTGAGCCGTCTCGTTGATGTAGCCTGGTAATTACCGCCGTAAGTGCTGGATGAAGCTTTCGTTTGGCGCGATGGAATGGTTGGCGTTGAAGCGCCTTGAATGCGTGCATGTTGTTGATGGAAGGTGGGAGACTCCATGGAAACCCATGTAGCAGCGGATGCGCTGTGAATACAAGCGCCGTGTTGCGTGTTTTCTGTTGTAGATCCACCAGCTCCTGTTGATCAGCTTCTGGCACATCGGTCATGTGATCAATGATCCAATGGAGTCCGTCGTTGGCTTGATGGAGGACGATAAGGGCGTGGTTGCCGCCGGCGTGTGCTTTCTGGCGCCCGTGTGTGACCCCCTGGTCCAGCAATGTCCAGGTGTACGTGTTCAATACCTCCGGCCCGTTCCGCAGCGTAAGCTGAGCCGGTATTTGCATTTCTTCTGCTTCGTGCAGATAGGGACTTGCCATAAGTATGGCTGTTGCCCATAGCCCTAGTTTAGGCAGCGTGTGGTAGGTATTCAGTTTCGTTGTTGGGACCCGAATACGGTAATCCAGCGTTGACACTCGCCGAATGTGTAGCTCAGCTAGCGTGCAGGCGGGTAGTAGTGGATATTTCTTTGTTGATAGCATAATCCCCTTGTCATCTATTATCCAAGGATTCTGATCCCACCTGTAAGTCGCCCAAAAGTCTTTGTGCTCCTGGGTGTACATGTTTGTAATAGTCGGGATATCTTCATAATATTGGAGAAGTAAATCCTGGTCCGACCTGGTGGCCACGAGGTGCGTCACTAGGCGCTTCAAAATTCCATCACGATGCTGTTTAATGATCGTCCATTCTTCTGACGTCGGTGCGATCCACGCGCTTAATTCCGCTCTGATTTCCGGTTGTGGAGCCATTAGCGTGCTGTTTCTACCGGCTTTGGGTGATGCCGGTGAGATTCTCCACATAGCTGAGTCCTCCATATCTTGAAATGACCACGCTGCCCAAGCATAGAAGTAGCGATCGCGTTTCTGAATCAGCCACTTCATCGCATGCTTAAGATTTTGAGTGCATATGGCGACGTCTATGGAGACGAGCCCTATCCCCCCGACCCGCGTGGTGTGTATAGCAGGCCTGGATTGACCTTGTGTCTGCTGTTGCATAAAGACGTGGTGTGATGCCACATAAATTGCTTCTGTATGTTGTGCAGTTCTGCTCGAGCCCATTGCGGGAGCCGGAAGACAGCAGCTGTAAATAAGACTGCTGGTAGCATGACAGCATTCAGTAGCAGTATCCTCACGGCGACGCTGGTTGAGAGGCTTGTCGCGGTGGCTAGACAAGTTAGCTCAAGATGTGCTCACCTTCCGTTTTTTCTGTCGCCTGCAAACCAAGATATACAAAACAAAAGGTAATCTTGGTAACCGGCAGTTTCTTGATGGCTTGAGACCTGGTAGCAATCAACACACCGTATTTCAACACGAGCGCACAACACTTACAAGCCACACATAAATACTTCACGATCCCGTCTTTCCACAAACCTCACCATATGTGCTTGTGTAGGGGTTATAAGTAGCGATTCACCAGTCTTCGTGTCGTCCATTGAGAGTGTGTGGCACCTTCTACAAACCTTTTTTGGTGTCTTGTCACTGCTTGCGACGCGCTGTGCACTCGTCACTACTGGTAACGTATGTATCGCTGCGTAGGGTAATGAATGCACATAAAAGACTTTGCAGGTAACGTACATACTGCTACGGGAATATTTTAAAGTGACTATGTTTTATGTACCACACCCGAGCTGACTCTATTTCGTTACCCGCTCTATTAAAATCTCCGACTCTATATTGATCGGCTTGGTCGAGCGTATTCATTGCAACTTTTCCCCGACAGCGTCTACTTGACAAGCTCAATGGTTCGTTTTGTCCAGTCGATTTTCGTCTCCAGCGTGGCCCTACTTGCCTCGTTTCTTCTTTCTAATGTCAACGCCGCAGACGAGCCCTTGCCGTGGAACGGTCTTTTTGAGGACCTGAAGGTGACGACGATTAAAAAGAAGTATTTGACGCATATCCTGACCGACCGCAAAGTCGGCAAAGTGGACCCGGATCAGTGGTTGACTATAACTCCAAATGGCCGCTCGCCTGCCTATAATGGTGATACGGGCGTCGCCACACTGGCCGTCGACTCGGAAGCTATTTTTCACGAACAGAACAACTTTCGTCGCTCGGAGCTGGTGCAAAACGTGGCGGGTAATACGAAGGGCACGACCTTCTTTCGCGTAAGTCTAATGAAAGAAGTGGCGTTTGTTAACCTGAAACCATGGCAGGTTATATTTCCTGAGTCGCATCTGTTTGAACTTCGCATCGACGCGTCTGTGGACCCGGTGAAGCTGATTTGGTATACGGGCGGTGGCACCGAGACCCGTTGGTCCACCGAGTTCAAGATCAAGACGTGGTACAACTTTGGGATTGCCGTATCTTCCGGAAATATTGATTTGTATTTCAGTGAAGGAGACGACGTTCTGGCTCTCGCTAAGACCCAGAGCTACAGCGGAGACGTCCCCACGAACTACGAGTTCCACTTTGGCCAGCTCACGCTTTCGGACGATGGCAGTCCCGTCAAGATGGTGGAGGGTAAGCAGGACGTGCTATCCTTTAATGGCGTGTCGGTCGAGGACAAAATTCCTACTGACATCGGCTCCAGCACACCGAGTTCGAAAGAGTCTACGACGCCGGCCACCACTTCTACCAGTACGACGCCAGCAGCCGCGAGCAAGACTGCTGACGTAACGCCTACAGATACGCCTTCAGTGACGGCCACAGATACGCCTTACAACGAATTCGTCACCGACAACTTCAAACGTGATCGCTGATGATGACAAGCCTGCCGCCACCACTTTGGGCTCGGACGCGTCTAAGACCAAAAATTGCAAGATTCGTCAGCGCTAGTCATTTCGAACTAACGGAAGGACAATATGACGTACTTGTGTGGAATAAAAAATTGCTTTGTCACTGTGTTACGCCAATCTGACAACGCTAAACATCTCTTCTCTGGTCTGGCAGGAGTGATATTTCCATGGAGCAATACAGGACTGGACAGCAGGAGTGTGAGAGAGTCACAGACCCTCTAGTATACTACTTAGATGTCTAAGGTGTTTCATCTACCATAACGCAATCTTCTTACGCCTTGCTTACTCATTATGCTGGCTCAAGACTTCGGTTGTCACGGAGGACACTCCAAAAGGGCACGTGGGACCGTTTCACCAAACTCGAGCACATGCAGGGGGCAGGTGGCGCCTTAAAAGTGAGGCCGAGTACTAAACCGGCTGTCCCAGACAGGCCAGCCTTGACATGCAGCTCAGGTCGGAATCGGAACGGACGAAATCGCGTTCTAGGGGAGTTCGCTTCGGGGGACCGGAATTCACGCTCGGCAAACGGGCCGGTGACTAGGCGGCCTTGAACCGGGAAAAAGACCAATTTATGTTGGGGCTGAAACGGTAGCCTTCCTGGAACGGAGACACGATTGCAAATCATTGCATCCGCATGGCGGCCAATTCCCTGTCACACCACAGCTCTCTTAAATAGGCGTTTCACGACTTTGTTACCATGCCGATAGACCGTATCCTAACATAGGACGACAGCAAGGTACTCGGAAAGCTTTTATCGCTGGCAGAGGTCATCACGTCGCTTCCTAACATAAAAGCGACTCCTAGCGGTTGATATTAAGGAACAACGGCGAGATAGGGATGTGAGTAATGGCGTCTATCTCCGCCTGCAACGGAGGTTAAAAGGGTTCGGCTGTTTGCCGATTAAAGTGGTACGTGAAGACACCATTGCAACCGGTAGACGCAAAACTTCACTCGTGATTAATACGGATTTCCTTATTAAGCTCAAATACTATTCTAATGACGCCAACGCTAGCTCTATCTTAAATCCCACCACCGTAGTTGCAAGCAATATTGACGAACTCTGAGCTGCGCTAGGAAATGGAAACAGGTAATATATTTACAGCTATGCCGCATGGCAAGTGAACCAACGCTTTGTGCTCTATACCCGGGGCAGCTTGCATTCTATAGAATGGAAAAGCTTGCGCGGCCGCCTTTAACAATTCTAAGTCCTAAGCATCCCACTTAAAATTGCATCAACCCTCCACACTGAGTAAAGGAGGCAGTGTTTGACAGTCGTACTGACGATATTCAGCGCAACGACGAGATCCTGTAATGCCGCCCATCGCATTAACGTCTCTTTGTCGGCCATTAACATCTACTCGTCTGGTTTTGCGGTTCCACCTGGAGACTGTGTTATCGCTTCGACGCAACACCGGACTATCTACGTTTAGTGATATCCCGTGCACGGTTTCAAGAATCGTTAGGCCTAGGCGCTGCGATGAAAACTGAGCTTGGCGTCGTCGGAAAGCCGGATTCCGATACAGCAAAGTGGTAGATGCGTCAACAGCCTTGAGTGGTACGTCTTATCCTCAGACAAATACGTTTAGAAAGTAACGCAATTTACCTACGATGTAGACCTAGACTATGTCCAGAGGAAACATCAGGCAGACCACAACTGGTAGGATTTTTGGCAGCTGTGACAAGGAAGTAATTACAGTAACCAGCGACCAGCTTATTGCCAACCGAGATGTTGCTACAATGTCGTTGACACTGAGTGAAAAGCCGTCGAAACAGTAATGCGAAGCATCCTTCATCACGACGTTATTAACCTTATTCGGCATCGATGCATCTCGATCCAGTTCACGAAGCGTGTTGCAAGGTCGGTGATCGTAAACTTTACCTTCTAGCCTCCGACAACTGTCTCACCGACCCGTCAATGAAAGGAAATCGTTTGCAGTATCCACAGCCGAGTCATGGATAAAGATAGCACTGTAAGTTACAGTCTCCACGCTGACCATTTGTCCGTGGTAATTCAGGGTAGTCGAGTAGACTTTTTAATCGTAGGAAGCATCGAAAGTGTCACAACAAATTACGTAATTACCACTATTAGAATCATCGTTAGGTCTACGGTAGACATCTGAGCTTGCACAGAGGTAGACCGTCTACCTCTGTGCAAGCTCAGATACTGCGAACGATTAAGCGTCCCTGCCAATCCGTAAAATGACATCATATTCACTTCGCGATTGGTAAAGGCTAAACAATAAGGGATAGAAAAGCTGGGATTAGAGCTGCTTACTTTAGAGAGAGAGAACAGATTGTCTATTTACTGATTAGTGCAAGATCTCTGGTAGGTAGTTAACCACACTAGCAACGCTGGAGGGTCCAGACATTGCCTACGGCTGGCAGCACGTCTATGAACGCCGGACTGCCCTCTCGGTTCTGATATAAATATGTCGTAACATGCAAATAGTTGGGCTCCACGGACGGCTGTGGCCGCCCTGCAATGGAGACGTTTGATGAGCGCCCTCAGTTGGAGCTAATCCTTTTCCAGATCAAAGTTTCACTGGCTTGTATCGGGATATGCGCATTGTTAAAAATCCTATCCACGCGAAGTTGCCAGAGCATTGTGATAATGACGGTCACTGCGACTTCCCAAATCGTCCTCCAGGCTGTGGCGAATAGATCAATGTCTTCCGGGTACCGGCTAACAGCTTTGCTGTGACCTGCGGCGAGATGCGTAGTACGCTACAGTTTGCGCAGTGTTCGATCCAATCCAGGAGGTGGGTAGGATGTTAAGGTGTACTTGTCCAATGACTGATAAGCCGGGCCCAGATTGCCTGAACACGGGGACATTCCCAAAAGAGATGCTCCTGGGTTTCCTTTTGGCCTACACATTCCAAATATGTGCATGATCCATCCGGGGGTCGGTTTTGGTACCAAAAGTTTAGCTGTCCGGTAGCGTGTCGATATCGTGTCCATAGCTGGTATTCCGTTACCGCATGACCGTGATCCCATAGCTGAGCCTGAGCTGCTTACTTTAAAAGCTGAGGGAGTTGTAAGATATGAAGCGCTGATTTGTTGCACAGGGCTTTCTTGCACCAAAGTCTTCAGCTGTTTGTTTGTAGGAAACAGTCAAAAGCTACGGCGTTGCTAACCAGGCTTAGAATCTATTACATATTCTGTAACAACTAAAGCTTAATTAGACTCGTCTGTTTCTCTCTCTCTCGCATAGCTGAAAAGCGTTAGATTGCGAAGATACGACAATCCCAGCTTCGTGGGAACTCCTATGAGTCTTCTCTACACTACACCGTCTTGTCGTTTTTTACTGCCTATCTCCATCTGGGTGAACGAACGATCGCCAGAGCCAGATGCTAAGCACAAAAATGGTGCGAGTCGGCCAAGCGGAACTTGGCATCAATAATCTAAACAAAGCGAGAATAGACCCGTGTCGACATAAGAAGTTGGTGTTTTTGACTCGTCAGGTTCATTCTTGAGCATTGCTCAGCAAGAAAAAAAACAATGTAGAGAGAATCTTGCAGATGCGTGCTTCGTAGTATGAAAAAAAGAGTGACTAATCTGGTATGGAACGTACATCATCAAGGAAAAAAAGCTATCGGTTATCCCGTGTCATATGGTTGTGCTTGGAATTGACAGCGAGCGATGGTGTGATGCAACCGAACGCAAGGTGACGATAATCCAGATCTCTCCTTAGACCCAACCTTTCCACAACGCCACCGCTCGAAAATTGTCATTTTGCAATTCGCTTGCAAACACACACCCCTCTTTAACAACATCATGGTCTTCTCCTCAGGAATTCTCGGCATGGTGGCGGTTGCGTCAGCCTATCTCGCGGCCCCCGCCGCTGGCGCGGAAAACCAGCCACTTCCATGGGACGGCCGTGGATATGACTTGACTGACAAGACCATAGAGACCAAGTATCTGACTCATATTTTGACCATGCGTAACAATACCGCGAATAACGGCGTTGAAAAATACGTGGCTATCAAACAGCTTGGCCGCTCGCCCGCTTACAATGATGACACCGGCGTCATCAACATTGCAGTGGATGCACACGCTATCTTTAAGGATCAAACTAACTTCCGTCGCACGGAGCTTGTGCAATTCGTCGAGACCAATGCAGAAGGATCGACGTTCTTTCGCGCGAGCTTAAAGAAGGAGAAGGCCTTTTACAACAATTACGAGTGGCAGTGTTTATTTACCGAGTCGCACAACTTCGAAATTCGTGTGAACGCCACGGCGAGCCCTCCCACGATCATGTACTTAAACAACGGCACGTGGGAAGCCAAGTGGGAGACCACGTTCGAGCTTGACACGTGGTACAATTTCGGCATTGACATTACTAAGGCCGCCAAGGGAGACAGCTCCGTGATCACGTTTTACATGAGCACGGGTGACGATGACCTTGTACAGAAAAGAAAGGATAACGTGGTGAGCAAGTTCGCATCGATGGAGGAGCTCCACATCGGACTTTTGACCCTTTCGAACGATAAATCCCAACCGAAGATGGCTAAGGATAAGGACATCATTTCGTTCAACGGTGTGTCGGTGGAAAAAAAGGTGGTTACGTCTGCTTAACCCTTAGTAGCTGGCAAAGGAGGCTTCCCGGAGATCTAGCCTTGGTCGCTTTTGCTTTTTTTGTCCCCCCTCCATTTTTCTTCATGTAGCAAGATTATTGAATTTTTTATGTAATTAATCAATAAATTGCTAAATTTTATTTTTGATTATGTACTTACTACCAAGTGTTTTTACCGTAAAGGCCAAATTAGACACTCATAGGCCACACCTCTACCGGCGTAAAGTAGGAGTATGGAGTGTGTCTGCAGGGTAATTTGTTGCAACTGGACAGGCACGGGGCCTATTGCTTTAAATACGACAAAATCAAATTCATTTTACACACTGTAGAATACTCAATTTATTATATGTGACGAATGCACATCGTGGCACACTCGCGGTGATGGACATGT